ATAGTTTAAATATCCTAGGTTTGTCTACATAGAGAAGTTTGCCAGGAGTAACTGCTACGCTGCAAAGTCTACTCCACATAAAACATGCAGTTTCATGATGGACCTCAGCAGTGGAACCTGTTACAGAAGTTCCTACCCACCTTCCACAGGTCACTCATTTCTCATTTCATACTCTGTTCTGCTAATTGCAGTGTGGTTACACACAAGGTGCAAACTGCATCACTAAAATAATCTGAGTTAAAAACCACCCTCCCATACAAAAATGAAGGGGGTTATGTTTTATTATTTCTGCTACTCAGATTACAGAAGAGCCCTACCGTAAGCAGCTTCAAGTGGCACAACAGAGCGACCACAGAACCACAGGAGCTGAGAAACAGCAGTCCGGGCAGCTTCTTTTATCGGCTTTCCCACCAGAGCAAGATGATGTACACGCGCTAAATCCCTGCACRGTTTTACAATCCAGCTACAGCAACCTGACAGCTGCCCCATCCCATGCCCCTCCCGCCGCCCTCGCGCTGACCGCAGCGCTGGAGCAAAGCGATGCCTTTTTGCACGTGAGCTCTCCGCGGACCGGAGAGGGAAGCCAGGTGATCAGCGTCTGCTGGCGACGGCCAGCAGTCACATTTTCCTGTTCAGGTGACACCACCGTCCCCTCAACCCGCRCGCGGATGTCTGTGTGGCAATGATTAATGCAGACTACAGTGGTGGTTTCATAAGCGTGGAAACTCCTGGAGTTTGTCATTCCGTTGGCTTTCCTCCCACTCCCGCTGCTTCCATGTGTCAGGCTGGGCACACGGGGCCGTGGCCAGTTCCACAAGCACCAACACACCACGTGGTTGAGCAGGAGCAGGGCAACTACTTGCAAACTAGAAGACGAAAGTAAAGCATTTTTGCCTTTCTTTCAGACACGTTTTGCCAGGATAACCAAACGTATTAAGCTATCAAGAGACAATCAGAAATAGTTTTCAAGACCTAGTTAATGCTGKGTTAATGCTTCCCAAGTGCTCATTCCCACCCACGAGCCCCTCGTGCAAACGCTCACACCAGCAGCAAGGGCAGCGTGTGCAGGGCAGAGCACGGGCAGCTCGGGCTAGATCTGCCCGTTTCCTACGCGGCCCCATAAATATTTGGGCAGGACGGCTGGGGTAAGGGTGCCTGTTAAGTTATTGGAGGCGGTATGGCCTGTAGTCCAAAACAAGGTGTAGAGCAACCTTAAAAATAAATTTAGGTTTCAGTAGTGTATAAAGCTCTGTCCTTGGCTATCAGGAACACCATCGGGGCAATTTCTCTTCACAATCTCACATCTTCAAAAGTGAAGGCAGACCATTTATAACTCTTAGTGAATAACGAACAAACAGAAAACCTCAGTATTTTCACTGGACTGAAAAAGCTGTCTGTTTTTTTTTCTGCCTTGTGTCTACAGACTAGAAAGCACATAGCCCCTCACTGATACAAGTCTTTCTTTGGCAGCTGACCCAAAACAAAACAAAAACCTGAGGAACTTGAGCTCATCATTATGAACATATCTTRCCAACCACTCTGACTTCTTTAAATCTAGTAACTCCTACCCAGTGCTGTGCAACTCAAGCTGACTTGCATCAGAAGCAACTCAACAGCCACAGTCAAAGGCTACAGAAACACCACCAGGCACTGAAACATTACTCTCCATCAAATGCAGACTCCCACAAATACTACAAACAGTAACATTTCCCGTTGCTACTACAATCTTAAAAGCAACAAACAGAAAGCCAAGTCTATTGCATATTTTTGAAGAATACATATTGTATTACATATCACATATTTTGAAGAATTACATATTACATATTTTGAAGAATGCATATTGAAGAATACAGTGCATTGCATTTAATCCATACTGGGTTTTGTGATTTTGTATCAACACAGGAGAGTCAGGAGAACATTTTGTCAATATCCTATCAGTGACAGTTGGTAAAAGGTCTTCTCAAATGCAGCAGGCAGTAGATGCCAGCTAACCACCAAATTAAGCTTCTTGATCAAGAAAACCATGATAACTACGTTATGTCCAAAGCCCTTGACACCTGCAATTACCAAGGTCCTGCTCCCAACTCCTGCTACAAGAGGGTACTGTCTTCTCAGACCCATTGCTTCATAGACTTTCCTAATCCATTTAGGAAGAAATAACTTGGATTAACAAAGACATACTGTCAAGGCTGTCTCCTCTAGCACTGCCTGATATTTCACTGAAAGAGTTTCAGGTTTTTTTTTTTTTTTTTTTTTCCCAAGAATGGCTTGAATAGGAGATTACTTGTGGCAGAGGAGTGGTGATGTCTCGCTATGACAGGTGGGTCAGATAAGAATAGAATCTTATCATATAAAAGGCATGGCACAAAAATTGTAACCCTGGAGGAGAAAGGATCTCCTGTGGTTTAATCCTGACTCAAAGACATTCAGGAATTGATTTACAGGAATCAGGAGAGCAYTTTCCCTACGTAGAGTATGCACATGACATTGGATCAGCCTAGCTGGAGTGGGTAAAGTGGATATATCCATGTTATCCCACCCTCTAGAGAGTTCTGAGAGTCTAGACTATGGCACTGAATCTGTAAACCTTGATAGAGCAGGATGTCTGCACAGCTGTGGACCTGATTGGAGCTTTGTAAAAAAGTCTTGAAAAGGAAGATTTTGAAAGATTATTTCGGTGCCTGCATCACTAGAACTGATGCTTTTCAGGCTCTTTTAAATAACATTCGAAGGAGGTGACAATTTGGAGGTGAAAGATTCATTTAGGAAACTTACCTATATCAGTATGACACGAAAATGAAAGCAGGCTCAAAAGCTTTTTTTTTTCCCTAACAATAAAGAATGGCCCCCTTAGACCTTCTACTTCCTCAGCATTATCAGTTAACTGATCAGTTTTAAATAATTAGTTCACTAATTATCAGTTTTAAATAGTTTACTAATTATAATTAGTAAGCTAATCATCAGTTAACTAATAGTTACTTAACAGTTAGTTAACTAATAGCTAACAGTGAGCTAATTATCAGTTAACAGTTGTTTTTTAAACARCTGAAAAATATTTTACATTTTTCATAACCATGGCTTTGTGATGGGATTCATAAAATTTTGCCCTATGTTAAACTTCCTGCACTAATTATTTTCTTTTGTGCCTTATTTTTAGTATTTGTCCTATGATTGAACCTTGGCAGACTGACATGCAATCAGGACCCATGGCACAGGGCTTCCAAGAGCATTTAAATCCGTGCTACAACACTGACAAGATAAAAGCAAGACACACCTGCCCATACACAGGTAACTCCAGCAATTACCTCAACCACAGAGGAAGGGGGGGAAAAAAAAACATAGTATTTGGGAACAATTTTCATTTATATATTTTTAAAGTAGTTTTTCTATGAGAAACTGCTATTTTAAATAAGAGATGCTGTCAATTACCCTGTTATCTTTCTTTCCATCTTGAAATGTTTTCTTTCTTCCAGGTGTTTCATTAAAAGAGCTGCCATTTTTTTAGCTTTGCAAACACCTGCAAAAGTTGTGGCATTTACTCAAAATCCAGCAACATTTTTAATCTGCTGAGTTGCCAGAAATAAACATATAACGCATATGCACAATCATACACTTCAGATTTATTGTTTGTTTCACAGTTAGTGAAAGGAAATCTGCTCAGGCTGCCAAAACATCAACAAGCTCTAAAATATTTTCATCTAGTGGGGGAAGGGAAGCAGAGGACTTCTAGACACTGAGCCACTTCCSCAAAATCTATGGAAAGTTCCATCCATCTCAGTAATAAGCGCTATAATGAAAAAAAACCCACACTTTGCAGTTAAAGAGATTTTCAGGTAGACAAGTAATTTACCTGATTCCACTCTGTAGCCTAATCCTACTATGTCCTGGATTACTTGTTTGTTCACCTTAGCCTGGCATCCTAAATCCGCGTCACCCCACYGGGCTGCAAATCCGCTTCTGAGAGCACTGCAACTCTGCATAGGCATAGTAAATATATACATATATAAATAYATATAAAAATATATACATGCACACTAAAGACAAAAGCAATGTAACACAGACTCAGAAGTTGTTCTCCAACAGATGCAAGGAGCTTGCAATGCACAGCAACGTAWTAAATGTACTTAATAGAAAGAATCTGTTGATTCTTTAGGTATCTTCTGTTAGGTATCTGAGGAGCACCCAGGTGCAGCACAAAGGCTCCCAGGCCAGGCCTGCTGCGGAGGGAGCTCACTGCRAAGAGCAGCGCACCCCATAAAACGSCAACACCAGCAGCTACGTTTTGATAGTAAAATCGTCGTCTGGTGCATACTGATTAGACTGAAGCATTGTCACGGCAATGGAGCAAAGGAACCTGTATAAAAGGCAGATTCACAGGTGTGCAGCTAAAACTAAAAATAACATGCATCTTAAAATACACACAGCCAAATACATAGGTATATTTCCCTACTACAAAGAGGAGCGAGTGCAGACTCCTGCTCTGCAGGTTTAGCATCTCAGCCTGCTCGGGGATCAAGAGCAGAAATTAGAGGTGGTGGAAATGAGGAAGCAGGCTGGGCCCGGCACTCCGCAGACTCCAAAGGGAGCTCTGCCGACCTTTAGCRTAAGAAGAGGGCAGCCCGTGCCCTCGCGCAGGCTCCAGCCGGCCCCACTCTGCCCGTCCTCCCGCGCCGGGAAAGCCGGCGACCCTCCTGCTGCCTTTACCTTCCTGCAGCACTTTTTTTYCCTCCAGCACGCAGCCTCGCCAGCACCAATTCCAACCCATCTCGGTTGATTTGCTCTAAAGTGCACACATCAGGCCAGAAATTGGAATAGTGAGTATGGAAACGTGGTGAGAATGATTAAATAAAGGCTCAAAGGACGGTTTCAGCCCAAAAGAGGGGCGAACCCGCCCCAGCAGCAGCAGGGCGGCCCCCGCGCTCCCCACAGGTGGAGCGGGACCTTCCCGCGGCACCTGGCGCGGACACCACCCACCCACCCACCCGCGTCCCGCCTCGTACCGCAGCTCCCGCGCTTCCGCGCGTCGCGATGCACCCAAGCGTCCGCAGCAACGGTTAAGATCGCGCCTCGTCCAAGGACGGCGGCCACCACGAGAGCCTGACGCGCTGCCCGCGCGCGCTTCCCAACTCCGCAGCGTTTCAGCCAGGAGCGTGCGCCACTTCGGAAAACGCTGGGAAAAAAAATAATAATCCCGGGAGCGGCGCGCAACGCACGTCCCCGCGCCGCGGCTCGGGGCACGCGGAGGGAAGCGCCCGGCACGCAGCGGCTCCCCGCGCTGCGCGCGCCCGCCGGCCCAGGGCGCGGGCACCGC